CTATAAAAGCGGTAAGACTAGTAACACGAGTAACGTAACACCAGCACGAGTAGCACGAGTAACACTGGTGACACTGGTAATATATGGTCAAAGCCTTACTCAGCGACAGCACATATCATCCATTCATGGCCGAGAGATCAGACTTCAAACTCCGACCCAGACCGTATGATACCGTATCCAAGGACGCCGAATGGTCCCGCAAAGATACGACATGCGCGATAATTGATTGACTGAAGGCTGTGCTCAGTTTAGAGTCCGTCTCTCTCATAAATGATAATTTGATTGCCTCCAAATAGCTTTGCTAAAATCTTGCGATCAAAAAATACCTGAAAAGCTCAGTTGCGCAGATTTAGCTGGCCATTACCTCTCAGCATAAACGACTGCGCCATCAAGATTTCATTTGGAAATGAGTTATCTCAGGGTAAAGTCACCGGTCATCATATTTGGAGACGTCCATGGACAACTGTATGATCTGCTGGATATGATGACCTTGGTAAGGTTTCCGCCCTCTCTAGTTTTCTCATTAAACTCACTTAGATTGGGCATCCACCAACAAAACGAATGCTTTTTCTTGGAGACTACGTTGATAGAGGAGATTTCAGCCTGGAGACCATAACCTTTCTTCTAGCGTTCAAGGTTCTTGAGCTTTTTCTATCTATAGATTTTCAAAAGAATCAAAAAACTGGTTCAGCTCAGATTTCCAAAGGAGACGTACATGCTCCGTGGAAACCATGAGACAAGATGCGTCAACAGACAATATGGTTTCTACGATGAATGTAAGAAAAAGTTCCCGAAAAGAGGTTGGTCTAGAAGAGATTAATAAGACTGCAGAGAAAAACTCTCATTAGGTGTGGAACTGTGGACGTTGTTTCAACATGTTTTTAACTGTCTACCCTTGGCTGCGGTGGTTGGTGGAAGGATATTCTGCGCCCATGGGGGCATTTCTGAGGATCTAGTCTGCTTTAGACAGCTAGAGAGGTCCAATTTCTGTCAATAGTTCATTGCGTTATCGCTTTTACAGATTTCTTATAGAGTTTATCGGCCTACGGACATTTGTGATATTGGTCTTCTATGTGACCTGATATGGTCTGATCCTTGCACCACAACGACTCTGTACGAACCTAGCCCCCGTGGAGTATCAGCAGTGAGTGAAGGGAATATATTTTTATCTACCTTAGCGATCTTCTGCGGGCCATAGTGTTGTCTTCGAAGGCAGCGTCCAGGCAAATCTCGACCCATGGGGCTCTCACGTGGAATGTACTTGAGGCCCCAAAATAAGACTCTGCCCAAGTGGCAGCTCGAATAGTGCACTCA